CACTTCCCTAATGGCCAGAGACATTTTTTCATATTATCTGTCAATCATTTGACTTTGTCTGTGAAGTTTCTATTTCCTGTGTGATTCAGGTTCTGTTTAGAAAATCTTTCCTACTCCTATGTCAAATGTTTCACCTATTCTATCTTCCAGAAGGTTTAATGTTTCTGTTTTAATGTTTAGATCTTTGATCCATTTTGATTTTAATTTAGTATCATATGGGTGACCTTTGACATCAGAGGAATCAATGCTGCACCATGGAGGAACTGACTTCACAGATTGTGGGTATGACTCCAGTTCTAAGAGGCAGGCCTGAAGACATCCTCACTGTGGCTTAAAAATGAAGAAGGACTAAAAGATATTTCTGCATGAGTCTTTAAGAGTCTTTAAAATGACAGGACAGAGTCCAAAAGAGCAATTTTGCCCAATGTTTGGACACATCATGGAGACATATTTTAATGCTCTTTAAAAGTAGACAATATTTCCGTGTTCTCAGACATTATGTACAGCAATTTTCTGACTTGGGCTCCTAGTCTGACACTGTCCTGTACTGGGGGAGGAATTTACAGAAATTCCCAGTGTGCCCTTGAGCACTCTGATGTTACAGCTTCTGTGTGTAAATGCAAACCAGGCAGCATCTTCATGCAGGTGCTGATTTCCAAGGCCACAGGCAGCAGGGATGTGGGGTGGTGACAGCATGCAGAGGCCCTGACACCCCGCCTGCTGTCCCTGGCCACTTTCCAGCGAGTCCTGGGCCCCTCCACAGCTCAGAGCAGCTCTGAGCACCGCTCCCCTGCGCCCCTCACGGCGGCGCCGCCCACCGGGTCCCCAGCCCAGATTCTGGTCCTGGCTTCCTGGCCCTGACGCAGCCCTTCGACTTTTCGAGGCTCATTCAGAAGCTAAGGGTGGCCAAGACCTCAGTGGCGGGGTCCCTGGTGCCAGCTCCGGGGCAGCTGAGACCGAGCCCCGCCGGAATGCGGGGTCCCCCAGCCAGGACATGCCCATGTGCCCAGCGCCATCGCCGCTGTTCCTTTGGGAAAACGCTCAGCAGGCGAGAGTTTTGGGTTTGTCCCAGGGACTCCAGGACAGGTTCTTGGTGACCTGACTCCGCTGGAGGGTGGCAGCCAGTCCAGTGGGCAGCGCCCCGCCCTGGGACAGGGACTGGGACAGGTTCAGGAACAGGCATCATCCACCCTGCACGGGGCCTCAAACTGGGGCCCCACACCTTGCATACCCCATCGTGTCATCGCCAGGTCCCGCTCAACACCGCCCGCCTGCCCGCAGCCCGGTCGGGTCTCAGTCCAAGGTCCCAGCCCAGCGTGAGTGCAGCGGGCAGGGAAACAGGCCGGGTGTTCAGGATGGGGATGCCGCAGGCCATGTCCTGTGTCCTGCAGACCAGGCCTGGGAGAGGGAAGGCAGGGGCAGGGGGATGCGGAGAGGACAAGCCGGAATGGAGCGGAGCCATTTGGGGAAAGCGCTTAGGGCTGTGCAGGACTGGAAGGGCCAGGCGTGTGGCCACACCTGTAAACCCAGCCACAGGGAGACTGAGGGAAGAGGATCTCTAGAGTCCAGTTTCACTGAGCCTTGGCAGCAGAGTGAGACCCCTTCTCAAGAAGAAAAATGCTAATAAAATAAAACCACCACAGGTGCTTGATCTCATTGCACAGCGGCCCTGTGTGGGAGGTTTGCAAGGCGTGGCTGATCCATCTCAGCTCTATGTCCAGAACTCTGTGCCTCTGAGCCGATGTCTGAGACCCAAGCCTTTGGTCACCTGAATGCTGTGATACCGGGTGAGTAAATTCTGACTATGCGGCCCGAAAGGTCAGTAGGATTGTGCGTACATTTTAGAAAATAGCGCACTGCCCAACAGAAGCAACTGAGTTTGTTACCCGTGCAGTCTCATTTGAAAGTAAGTATGAAAGAGAAGATGTGGGCAACTGATTCCGGGTCTGAAGTGTTAGGGGCCGATGGTGAGGTAAAACTCTGTCTTTCCACAAATGCGGGAAGATAAATGTGATGGCTAAAAATTTACGGAGCAGGGGAGCAACTGCATGCGGAGGAGAGGGACAACCTAGGAAACCCTGTGTCAAAATAAAAATGGTCTGAGAGTGCAGCACAGTGCAAAGGCCCGGTTCAATCCCTAGTTGGGGGGGAGGGGAGGTTGAGCAGAGTCTCCATTTGAAATTTTCTGTAGTTGAATTTTAATAATTAACTTGAAAAAGTAACAAGCATATTACAATACTTATTAAAATAATATTCAAAAAACTTTGAGCAATAGAAAAATGTAAGGCCAAATTAGATTCTATACCTGACATGTTGCCTGTTTTATTTCTTGCCCTATAATAGAAATGTAATTGCTCTTATGTACGTACTGAGTGGGAAAGAAGGGACTCAAAGTCAACAGTCCAAACAAGTTTATTGCTAAGCCTGAGGGACCTCTCTGTGGGAGCAGAACAGAGAAGATGTCTCCTACAGGCTGAGGCTTTTTTTTTTGGTATCGGGGATCGAACTCAGGACCTTGTGCTTTCGAGGCAGGCGGTGGCACCACTGAGCTAAATCCCCAGCATTCTAAGAGGCTTTTTAAAAAAAATTAATTTTATTGGTACATTTTAGGTACACAATATGATGACATTCATCATTGGAAATTTGCACCTTTACATAGTTTCTCTTGGTTCTTATTTTTTCCTCCTTCCCCTGCCCTCCCTTCAACCCCTCCATCCCTCCCAATTTACAAAGATTTTGTTTCCATTTTCTCATTTTCTCATATTAATTCCATTCCTTTTTTTCCTTTCCCCTACCCCTCCTACTTCCCCTTTCCCTTTGCCCCTTTGAAAAAAGAGGCTTTTTTAAATGGTGTTTTTGGTGGGGTTTTGAGGGGGTGGGTCAAAGAAATGGGCTCATGGCTTGCTGATGTGTCCTCTGTGACCTAAATAAAATGAAACCTACATTTTGCTAACATGGTGAGTGGGCTCATTTGACCTGGCAGTGTCCCTGTCCAGGGTCTATCACATATATATATACATGCATGGTAACACGTGCTTATTGTGCATATTTGTTCCAGGTCCTGGGCATTCTGCAGGGCTCCCTTAAGAAACAATCTTTTGCATCAGGATGTTTAACACACACACACATACACATACACATATGCAAAATCTGTTTCTGCAGTGCTTTCTTTAAGCATTCCTGAAGCATTTGATGTGAGCATAAGTATGATAAAAGGAAAAGCAAATACAACCTGGAATGGAAAGGTGCCATGAGGAACACATTGGAATGGACATGGTGGACTGAAAGGTCCTCTGCACTTAAGGATGCAACCATCCTGGAGGCCATGGTAAAGAGGGAAGGGCCAGTTCAGTGACAATAAAGGGGAAAGCAGGTTGCTCTTCAGATAAGCTTTTCCTGGCATTTACCTTGAGGGAAATGTCTTGTGTGTATGTCACACGGGTGCGGAGGACCTAAAAAATGGCAATGAGAGGGACGGTATCTTCATTGCCACCCATAACACACCCATCAGTGCATGAACTCCGTGTGCTGAGAAAGCTTGTGTAGTTGTCATTGGATACCTTGAGCATCTGTCCAAATCCTTTGTGCCACAGGACTCCATTTTGTATCTACTGATGTTTACCTACCAGGGTCTGCAGCTCCTTCCTTGCTCAGAAGCCAACCGGGGCTGCTCTGTCTATCAGAAGTTCTAGGGAATTACTACCATCCTCCCAGAGAGCCTTTCCAACCAAAATCTTATTTCCTCAGGCAGTGTTATGGTTATGATAGGAAATGTTGCTCAAAGTCTGACGTGCTGAAGGCTTGGTTCCCAAAGCAGCAATGTTCAGAGGTGGGACTCTTTGAAAATGACTGTCTTACTTTCATCAGTGGATCGATCTATTCATGGATTCATCATTTGATGGCTTTTCTGGGAGGTGGGGAAATTTATTAGGTGGGAGTTAGTTAAAGGGTGTTGTGGATCACGGCCTTTAGGATTGTATTTGTCCCTGCCACCCCCACTGCCTTTCCTTACTCCCTCCTCCTCTTCTTCTCCTTTCCCTTCTCCTTCCTTCCTGGCTGCCATGATGTTAGTTCTACGTCACTCACAACACCAGAAACAATTAGGACAACCATGGACTGAAACCTCTGAACCCTGGAGACAAAATAAATTGATATTCTTCCTGTAAGCTGTTATTCTCATGTTTGTTTGTTTTTCCACAGTAACAAATGGCAGACTAACACAGGTGGCACAAAACTGAATCTGTGTTCTGTGTCGTTTCCCAGTTTCACCAAAGGAGTAAGACTTCAGCAGTGTGAGCCAGCTTGAGAACACACCCTTCATCAACACCTTGCCTTTCCTGTTATTAGAGTTTATACCTGGGTGTCCTCCAAAACCTTGTGTTTGGAAGGTGACTGGATCATGGGGGTGCTATATTTATCTGTGGATTCATCCACTAATGCGTTCATAGTTGACTTACTATTAGGAGGTTGGGCCTGGTTGGAAGTGAGTCACTGGGGTGTGACCTGAAAGGGTGTATCTCCCTCTGCAACTCTTCTCTTGTCTCTCAGCTTCCTTGCCTCCATGATGTGAGCAGCTTTTCTCTGCACCAGGCCCACCACCATGCCATTTCTGCCATGGAGCCAGCCAACTATGGAATGAACTCTAAAAACCAGGAGCCAAAATAAACCTCTCCCCTTTAAGTTGTAGGTATCTAATATTGTGTCTCAAGATAGTAAAGTGACTAAGACACCTACAGTTTTCCTCCACTCTACTACTCCTATTCCCGGCACCTGCTAAAAAAACCACTCTCCTAGAATCCTTGTCTCAGGCTATCCATTTGAGGGAAAAAACAATAAGACAACATGATGACAGCCCTATGCCTAAAGGCTAGTTACTTGAAATGTGTATTTGGTATAATAAATATATAATTATGTCAATTATGTTGTTTTAGGATATAAAAAGAGAACTTGCAGTTTTCAAAGTCTATTCTTTTACTAATAGGAAACAGAAGGTTCTTACATCTGTTATCACATCAAGCCTTTATTAAAAAGCAAAGTGTTCAGTATTATACAATTAAGAAATTCTTAATTGTTGAGAAAAGTTCACATATGTAATATCTTCATTACAACAATGCAGAAGGGAATATGGTGGGAGAAGGGATGAGGAGTGAATTCTCCATGATGGAAGCTGAAAAATGTATAGAATTTACAGGTACAAGGGAAGAATTATGCAACATTTTACATGTGAAATGAAAGACAGCACATTACTAATAACAAATATAATAAACACTTTCTTGTGACCATGATTGATACATGGCACATGGTCAGTACACATAGACACTAGACAGTGAGGATGCACTTCACAGTGAAGCTTGTTTATACTTAGTAACATGGTACACACACACACACACAAACGTACACCCAATTCCCCCGGAGTGTGTACATCAGTACCTAGGAATAAAGAAATGTGTGCAGCATATGAAAGATAAAGGTGAAGTCTTGGAGAGTGACACTGAAGAAACCCAGGCTGCTTCACTCCCATAGAAGTCAACATGGGAAGGCTGGTCCACTCACATTTTCACTGGAAATTATACTGACATTTTCTACCCACTGAGTGAGCAATTTGGGAATTAAAGACCCAGCATTAAGAAATAGGACTTTCTTCTACTGGTTCCCCAGCTAAAGATTTCTCACCAACACTGCACTGTCTCTTGCTTCTCCCATAAACTCTCAAAAGGTCACATTATTCAACACTGTTTTAAAAAAAATTTAATTTTTTTTTTGGTACCAGGGATTGAACTTGGGACCTTCTGCTTACGAGGCAGGCACCGGAACCACTGAGCTAAATCCCCGGCCCCCCAAAATTTTAATTTTAAAAATAAAAATGTTTTATTTTTTCTTGAGAAATAGATCCCCCTCCCCCATATGGGTAAATTTATGTCGCTACTAATCCTGATTATCAACTTGACTGGATTAAAAGGCTCCTAGCAGATTAGTAAAGCACACTTATTGGGTGTCTGGGTTGGTAAAAGGGGTGTTACCTTGGGGAGCATATCTGGTTCCAGCCCTTTCCTCTCTGGCCCTCTTTCCAACCAGCTGGGCATCCTGGCCACCATGAAGTGAGCAGCTTTGTTCCACCACATCCTTCCGCCATGATGCTTCTGACTTGAGCCAGCAGACCATGGACCCAGTTTACAACTGTGAACCAAATTAACTCTCTCCTCCTTTAAGTGTTCAGTATTTTGTACTAATGAAGGGAAAGTGACTAATACAATTTTATACTAGCAAATTACTGAAAATGTCAAAGTTGGAAGCAAATTAGGGTTCCCTCAAATTCTCTTATGTTTTAGTAAGAGATACTGTTTATTCTGTAATTGATCTCCAATGGTTTTACTCACTTTATTTCTAATGAAAGATAAAATAATATAAAAAGTGATTTTGTTCTGCAGATATTAGGTATGAGAAAATAACAAAAATTACATAGTACTTAACATTTACATTAACCATTCATACAGATTCTAGTATAATGGCTATATACCCATTCTGTGCTTTGGAGTTTTAGAAAAGTTCACCCCAGGAAGGTAGCTGAATTAAAACTCCTTTCTTATAGGAAAGCTATATATTCAGCTCATGAATAGCAAGGATGCCTTCCTTTCCCTTCATACACTGAATGGAAGTGACAACACTGGTTTTGTGGCTGGAAGTGCAACTCAGCAGCCCCTTGACACTTCTTTTCCAGCTTTAAAAGGCTACATCATTGTCAAAAGGGCAGACTTAGGCAGAGTAGCAACTGGGCATATCACTCTAGTTGCTTTTCAATAATTTCTTTTTCCTGAATTCAATATTTACATCTTGATTTCTTATATGAGAAAATGAAAGAAATCTTTGATCCATGGGTAAAGTTTATATACAATAAATTAAAGTGCAAAAGATTAATAATTGGTCACACAGACCAGTATCATATGTTACTTAGAGCATATAAATAGTGAAATCATTATGGTAATTGGTGATAGCCACCATCTCACCTGCTGGGTGACACATAGTGACACAAGTGTTACACATGGATGTTGGAACTGCTGTTTCCACCCTCACCTTCCAGGCCATCTGCAGACTGGGAGGAGGAAGGGCGAGCACTTCTAGGACGAGGCTGTCCACTGAGTCCTGCTGGTGTGCCTAGACCATGACTGAGCTGAGAAGCTGCATCATCAGATTCCCAGCGCTCCAGCTCTTCCCGCACTAGTCGCTCCATCTGTTCCCTGTGGATGTCATTGTCACGACCCAGTCTTTCATCCTCACAAGAGAAAAAGAAGTTGGATGTTACTGGCAGGGTCATGTACATACAGAAACTGCCTTAGGAAATCTGAGCCACAAATTATTTATAGTTAGGTGAGGGTGGGGAGTTATAGCAAATACAGTGGTACCTTGGTTCATGAATTTAATTCTTTCAGTGATTCTGGTCCCAGAGTGAACTGGATAAGAACTGAATCAAATTTCCACTTAAGGCCAACAAGGAACCTAACCATTAAATTTGATTTGGTTCTTGTTCAATTTGGTGTGTGACTAGAAGTGTGGAAAGAATTAAGCTCGTGAACTGAGGTATCACTGTAACAGCAATTTTCAGACTCACTGGAGTAACTGTTCACCAAATTCTACTCTCCAGTGAAGGCTGGGCCAACTGTATGCAGAAGGTTAAGACAGTCACATCTCCAGATGATCACTGATTTGCAGTTAGGAAGAAAAGCATGTCAGGGTAAGGGTTACAGAATATGACTACCCTGATAGTTTATAGAATCAAAAAGTGTTTCTGTTTCAAAGGGGAAGAATATTTGAAAATGAAAATGGATGGAAATTATGTTGTGAATGTCTGTAATCTTTCTTTTTTTGTTTGTGTATTTTACTTTTCTTCAATACTTAAACTAGAAAGCAGTGTCACCGATGTGTCCTTTCATCAACAGTACTCTTGCTCTCTGGTCAGGTGTTTTCCAGCTCACAACCACTTACCTCAGCCACTCCGTCCAGCAGTCTCCCTAGCACCTCCCGCCTCTTCAGTTTGGCCTGCTCCATGATCTCCAGCTTTACAATAACAGCATCAATCTTGGACACAATGCTGCCAATGGAGTGCTCCATGCGGTCTACTCGTCTCACCAGGCTGGGGGAAATCAGAGTTTAGAGGGGGAATGATCCTCTCATTGTCTTTTTCAGCCCAGCTGGCTCTTCAAAGGGAAATGTTAGAAATTTTTTCTTAAACAGTATGATAAAAATCTTTCTTTTTTTGCACTGAGGGGAATGGAACTCAGGTTCTGAAACATGCTAAGCAAGTGATCTACCCTTGAGCTACCCCCCAGCCCTGCTACACTTCCTAAGTGGTCTCAAGCTTAAGATAAACTCTCCTATGCTGCTGGTGTGATGCTAATTGGTGCATCTTTCTGCCAGTCAAATTGTATCTGGAGATTTAAAAATTTATGTCCATCACTTTGTTCAGATGTTTTATTTTTAGAAAATTTTCTAAAGCAGTTTTATATATGTAATATTTTACTGCAAAGATATAAACTAGAGTGTTGCTTTTTAATAGTGCATCACTAAAAACTGATACATTAAACAATCAATAAGAGAGACTATTTATACAATGAAATTCATAGATATCATCAGAAATTATACTGTGACAAATAATGACACAGAACTGTGCTCACCATATATTAGATAAAACACTTATGATTTCTGTTTTGAATAAAAAATATATAAATACCTTTAAACCATAAACTAGAGACATCTAGAATGGTGGCATTAGAGTTCAATAGATTAACTCCTCAGTGAAACAGTTATGACTGTGTAATGTTATTTTTAAAAATTCAAACATTGAAGTGCTCTAGAAATTTTCTTAAGGGTATACAGCCATTGAAAAAAATCAACTAAATGTCAGTAAGAAGACAGTCTATGGAATTTAAGAAATACAGCAATACCTCAGTCCATGAATGCTTCTGTTTGCAGTTTGGTTCACAAACAAAAGTGTTTGGCAAAATTTTGCTTGCACTCAAACTCTGCATCTGGTGACAAACACAACCATGGCCATCTTCCCCAGACAAACACAAACACAGCCATCTTTCCCAAAATCATAAAACAAATTAAGTCTGTAAACCAATGTACTACTGCATTTGCAGAAATAGTATTTGGAAACCTCCAAAACTTGGTGAAAAATATATATCCAAGAAACTTGTAGAACTGAAAATAGGATAAACTTGAAATGCTCACCCAGACATACATAATAAAAATGTTGAAAGACAAAGATACAGTATGTGAAAGCAGCAAGAGAAAATGGACTTATCATGTACAACAGACTCTCAATGAGATTAACAGCTGCCTATTCATAAACAGTGGAGGGCAGGGGTACTGAAGATAACATGCCCAGATGAACCCAGAAGGGGAAAATTCATCGCTAGCAGACCTGCTTTAAATGAAATACTACAGGAAAATCTTTAGGCTGAAAGCAAGTCCCCAGAAACTAATTAGAATATTTATAAAAAAACAGAATACAAGTAATCATGTAAGTATAAAATATAAATAATATTTCTTTTTTCTCTTTTTACTAGTTTTAAAAAAAATTGCTTAAGATCTGTACATAATTCGATTGTTGGGCTTATACAGAAATGTAACATATTTGACAACAGCTGGCCAATGGAAGTAAGTAATAGCCAAGTTATATTGGAGTAAGAAAATGGCATCAGACAGAAAGTTGAATTCAGAAACACATGGAGAGAGTCAGATATGGTAAGTAAGAATGTTAATATAGTAAATACTATAAATACATAATTTCTCTATACAGTGATAATTATAGCAATGCAATATTGGATTTGCAATATATACTGATGAATATATCTATATATCTAGCACAAAAAGGGGAAAGAAGGAAAAGAACTATAGAAGAGAGTTCTATATGTCACTGGATTAAATTAATAGAAGCTAGAAGCAGGTTCTCATAAGTCACTCTGTACATGTTAAGTATTATAGCAACCATTAAGAAAATAACTTAAAAACTGAAAAAAAATTAAAGGAAGTAAAATGGTACACCAGGAAATATTCACTTAAAGTAATAAAGGAGGAAGAAGAACAAAAGGAACACAAAATATATAGAAAAGAAAAGGTAATATTGTAGATGTAAATCTATATCAATAACATTAAATATAAATGGATAAAAAAATCTAAACCAATGACAGAGACTGTCCAACTGGATAAAAAGTTAAGCTTTGTCATATGTTGTTTACACGAGACACGTATTACAAAGAGATATAAAAAGGTTTAAAGTGAAAGGATGACAAATTGTATGTGAATAGCAACCATAAGGCTGGAGTGGCTACAGTAATATGAGACAAAACTTTAAAAGAACACATTTTACTAGAGGTAGGGTGAAACCATCTTATAATTAAAAACATGATCAATCTATTAGGAAGAGACATAACCATAGAGTTCCAATATCCACAAAGTAAAATCTTATAGACTTGAAAGGATAAATGGGTAATTTAATAATTGTTGGAGACTTTAATACCCCACTTTCCAAAGTAAACAGAACAAACAAGTAGATCAGCAGGAAAATAGGTGAGCAACTTGACCTAAGAAACATCTATACTTCCCTAAGCAACAGAAGTGTACACATTTTTCTCAAGTCATCCTCCAGGATGAACCACATGTGAAACCATAAAACATATAAAAATACTGATGAACACACAAAAAAGGAGATACAATATTAGTAGATATTGTGGTTGGTAGAAATATGGGAGACTTTCATGTTTTACTTTCTTATAATAAACTCATTTTTTATAAAGAGAAAAAATTACCAATAAAGTTACAAAAAACAACTGGTGATTGGTAATGGAAAAGAGTGAATTGAAAGAAATGAGGGTAACTGCTATGTCACACATGGACTCTGGTCAACCCAAATTTTGCCAGTTCCTTTATACTCACACTTGAAACTCCTCATAAGAAACCCCACTGGAGATGCTTCCCCTCCTCCTAGAGCTGTGTCCACTGTCTTCATCATCATCCTCCTCAGAATCATCCAGGCTCCTTGGGAAACTTCGGCTGCTCATGGGTCGTGGTAAAGAACTGTGGTCCAAGTCCAGGTCCTCCTGAAGAACATGGGGTCATCAGGTGAGGAGGAGGCACACAATACCCCACACACATGTTACCAAGGTCTTGGGCTGGAAGAAAATGAGTGTATGCTGTATATCTAGGACAGTGATGGCGAATCTTTTACAGTTTTCAAGGATAATAAATGGTGGGCTGCAGCACATGTACCATAGGTTCGCCACCACTGACCTAGGTTTTCTTTGTATTCAACATGTTTTCATGTCAGTTTTGCTTCACTCTTCACTTTGACTTCCTTACACTCATGCTATTTTATTTCATCTTAAATAATTATGATATCTTTTTTGGAATAAGCTTTGTACTAATACATAGATTGACTGAAGGAAAGAGTGATATATAATAGCCCACCACTCTGTGTAGGATCTGACACATGGAAGGTGCTGAATGAAATCAACTACCCCAAGATTAGACTCACCCTCTCTTTTTCCAAGTCATCTCTCATCTGCTGATGCTCATGTTCGGTGAGTTCTTGGTCTCCATCTTGGTCATACTTGGTGAATATTGCTTCAATCTCCGCATCAGTGTGTCCTTTCCTGAAATGGTTGAGAGGGACAGATGAACTTATCCTGTATGTGGTCCAACCCAAACTCAGAGACATCAAAATGCAGGAAGAAGGATGAAAGAAAGCACTGGGTGGGGCCAGTCTTATAGGATATTACAGAAAGATACCTGCCTCTGAAGAAAAGCATCTCTCTATGAGTACTTGGGCCAGAAACACTCTTATCACCAAGAATTTATCTTCAGAAGCAGGAACTTCAGGAAGTATGACTCTTACCCTTTGAGATCTTGCCGAAGTTCATCAAAATTTAACTTGCCTCCCCCTTGCCGCAGACTCTCTGAAATGTCATCCACAGTATTTTTCTTCAGCTTTAGTTTGACCAAGGCTTTATGGTAGCCCTATTTTGGAAGGAAATTTAAAAAAATATGGGAAAGGGAACAGAAAAGGGAAGGAAAAGGGGAAGGAAATAAAAATTAAAAAATAGAAAAGGAAAAAGAAAAAGATCTGGCTTAGTTTATTCTCCTTTTGCATTTACTTTACGTTTTATTTATAAATCCAGTAGCTGGTAGAGCATGGCGACTCAACAATGTGTGTTAATGAATGAATAATGAACATAAAGAGTTATATGGAAAGACTTGGGGTTTTTCAATAAATCAAGAAGAACTGAGGCTCTTTTCCTCATATGTGTACTCAAATTTAGGTAACAGAAGTGAAAATCACTACATATTCCATAAGGGTCTGCCCTAGAATATAGGAATATGTATTATTTCACAAGAAGACCAAGAAACCTGAGACACGGATTGCTTATTTATTGTTTATCATTTTATTATTGAGGGACTAGGTCTCACTACGTGGCTCAGGCTGACCTTGAACTCCTTGGCTCGTGAATCTCCTGCTTCAGCATTTTGAGAAGCTACATCTACAGGGGTGTGCCACTGCACCATGTTTGACTATTTAATTTTATAATATCTCATAGCCATTATTGCCTTATGTATATTAAGTATGTAAAAACATCCCAGGGAAATATCAGTGAGGATTTTTCACTAGTAAACTACAGTGAAAGACTGTAAAAGCTGAAAAATCAACTGAAAAAATTTCAACCTTCAAAACTCTTACTCAAAACATTAAAAACTCCCTTGGTATCAGTTATAGATTTAGAGAGAAACAGGAATAAACCTAATTATTTTAGTACACAGAAATTTAAAACATTACAAATATTTAAAGTACTTTCTTCGTAGAAAGCATAACCTAAGTAGCAGAACAGTGCTTCCTTCCTCTTCGGAGTATTTCCTTATCTGTTGGACATGTGACCTGAGTGTATTTACTATGAGTTAGGGACGGTGACATTCATTCTCATTATAGATTAGCCTGCAACATTTTTCTTTTGTACACTAATTAGTATTAAATTTCTCTGGTGTTTCTTTAAAATGAAAGTTTTGGGTGATGTCACCTCCTCCAAGACATCGTCATTTTTTTCATCACAAGCGCAATCCTCATTTACATTGACAAATTGGCCCTCACTTAAGTTCTGTTTTCCTGGACCTCTAAAATGGGGGCAGTGTCAACATTCCCACAGTTAGCCATTTCTTCTATAAATCCATGTCGTCTGGTTTGATCTCACTTCCAATATCATCTTTTGTCTCTTTGATGTACTTTCCTCTTTGCTGGTCAATTCTATTTTTCAATTATGCATTTGCATAAAATGTAACAAGGGTTCATTATTGACCAACAAGAAGCAAAACTACACTCTGTGCATGAACTCAACACATGTCCAAGGACCAGTCAACACCCCACTGAAAGCAATGTCCCACTGGTCACTCAATGCCATGGACATCTGTTACCCAGGTGATGGATGTATGGACTGAAGAGCCTGGAGTGGAGTTTATACATGTGCAATATTACTCATAGGTAATCTGCCCTCAGAGCTCAAATTTGAACCCTGTCATTAAGGTCTGGTATTGATAAACAAAGCCAGGTTAACTGAGCTTGGTGTATCTCAAAACCATATCGTGTGCAGTGCGACATACACAGCAGAGCTTGGCTAAAATGTAGTTCACTGTGGTGCAGAACTCAAGATCATGTGAATCTTAGGTCCCTTTAAAGGAGCTCTGCTGTAAGCTGAAGTTTTCCCTTACACAGGATCCACATACAACATGGGCAGGAGCCTGGTGTCAATAGAAACCAGAGTGAAGGTGCCACTGGGTTTCACCAACATGATGCTGGAGAACAAACTGTGTACCTCACATTCCTTATTGTTGTTGTGTAACTTTTACTCTAAACCAAATAGTAAAGGCATACTGAGAAGCACAAAGCCATCCCACTTTCCTGTCCTGCCCTCTGTTTAACAAACACCTCCTGAGAAGGGAGGCAGGAGATGGTTTCAGACCCCAGGCTGCAGCCTCCATTCCAGGGACCTTCTCCTTCAGCTATTTCGTAACTGCCCTAGAAGGTCCAATGTAAATGACTACATTTCCTCTAAATGTTTTTAAAGTGGTAATTTTGAAAGAAGTAGGAGAATTAGATGTATCTTTATATAATTTTCCCTTCCAGTTTATTCTGAACTCAGGATCTGGAAGTGACAGTCCATAGAGGAGCCTTCACAACACAGAAAGACACTCAGCTCTCAAGTCACAGGATTATTGAGCACTAGATTCAGGGCATAAAAGGATTCTAGAATTTAAGTCTGAACTACCAACATATCCACCAAGCATCCAAACAGAGAGGTTTTAAATTATTCTTGAAATACAGCAATCTACTATTTCTTTTAAACAGTGTCAGTGGATTAATGGTGTCTTGGAAATTTGGCTGAAATAATCCTCATTTTATGTAGGAAGTAAAAAATATTTTGAGAAATAAAGTTTAGCCTACCTTTCTGATAAGATCTGAGAGTTCCATTTCAGCTTTCTGCTGGGCCAAATCAGATTTCACTTCTGAGTAAGTATCATTGATGATGGCCAAAAACATATTCTGTTTGTAAATCAAAGGAAGGGAGAAAATAGAGAAAAAAACCCAAATATATTTCTAATAATTAACACATGCCTTTTTAGTTACTTTTTTTTCCAAAGTCTGAATGCTTTATAAATTAATAGTTTTGCTACTGTATTCTTTGATAACACTATTTTCCACTGTCATGCCAAAGGAAATATTATATCCTTACTTATAAAGCCATATATTATAGTTTTTAAAAAGACAATAAAATAAAGTGCTAGTGTATTTAGTATATTTACTTATGAATAGTGGGATCATTTTTTTCTAATTTTCTGTACATTTCAAAAATTTAACGTTATGTTGTAGAGCTGTTTAGAAAAGCTATTTACATTTCAACAGTCAACACAGACAAGAATAATCCTGTGCTTACTCTAAATTTTGTTAAATAATCATACTTGAGATGAACAGATCATGCTTCAAAAGGTTAAGAAGACCTCTGCAAACAGGAATGTAGTAGAAATAGAGTAAAGAAAAGCTTTGTTCAGAAGATGAAGACATTGTAAGTCAAGCAAACTTGGGTTTCAGTCTGGAAAACACCAAGACTAAGGCCATTTGAAAAAACATTTTTTTTTCATTCCCTGGTGTTGAATCCAAGGCCCTCAATACTGAGATCCATCCTGAGTGCTGGGATTGCAGGTGTGAGTGACGCCTGGCTTTAACTGTTTTAAGGCTCATTTGTTTGCTTTTGCATTTATACACTGGGAAAGCAAACAGTCCATTTCTTACAGACTGGTTGTGGGAGTTAATAGAGTAATCTGTGCCCTGTGCTCAGGACAGGCCCTGATGCACTGTGGGTGTTACAGCTGCCGTTGTTTCTTGACAGCTGGCACCCTTTCCTGACCGTTCCCTCCCCAGTGGTAAAGTTTCTATCACCAACATGTTTCCAACAGACATTCCTGAAGCACTGTGCCAAGGACTGCAGGTCCCTCTTTCACAGGTCCTGAGTTTTTAGGGCATAACATGTTTGTAACTATAAGCTGGTGTGTTTCATTATGTCGGTTTTCCCCACAAGTCCAGGCAATCTTCATCAGGGTCGGGTCAGGGTGTTTTCCTTACCATGGTATCCTCAGTATATAGCACACTACCCCATCGTGTGTAATACATAGTAAGTAATAATATATATATTATATATAATATGCATAAATACAGGAATATAGCTGCTCTATAAATATTTATTAAGTGGCTGATGAATGAACAAGTGAGAGCTCTCTTATTAGTAGGCTACTACATCTCTATCCATTAAGGCAATTTTGAGAACCCAACATAGAGAATACCTAAGTTCCTGGCTACATACTCTATTCCAAGGGTGGAGAATGTCAGTTTTAGTAACATCTCCCACCTTTGGCCTCTACCTCAGGCATCTCACATTCTATAATTTCTTCCCCATGGCTAAGTGATGCCTGGATGTCTTAGGTGAAATGGGTCAGAGCACTCAGGAGATTGAGGAAAGCAGACAGTGGCAGAGAAAGGCTCTTGAAGGTGTGAGGACAGGAAGTTCACCTGCCTCCTTCCCATCCTGGCAGTCAAAGGGCCCCCTCATTGTCAGATGGGCCCACGTCCTATGAGATCTTTCCCTGGTGTGGGTTGATGGGGAATTCTGGCTCAGCTGAGCCATTTCACACCCCCACTGGATTCTTTCTAAACAGAGGAACTAAATTAACACCAGGCAGGCAGCCCAGGAAGTGTCCAAATCTACCCTCAGTTCCTCATTTCCTTCAAAGACAAGTTTGTATTGGAATCAGCCTCCCCTCCATCTGTCTACCTGTCTTTCTGCTGTCTGTCTGTTTCTACCTATCTGGGGGCAGGGGGTGGGTGGATATGAGAAGAACAATTCCTTTTTGTGCAATACTACGGAAATTATTGTAGGATAAAAACAAAACCTAAGGGCTTCTTTTCCTGTTTTGGTGATTGATTTGATAAAATGACCAAGTAACATAGAAGGTGCTGCCTACTAAAGCACATTGTTCTGACAAGTCCTCAGCTGAGTCCTTCAAAGCCCCAAACTGTGTCCCTCATTTAGCAGATGACACACTCAGAAAACCAGGTTGCTCGAGGTCAATGGAAGGGTCACTGCAGGACTCTCCATTCCTGGTCTGTATGTTCTTAGAAATTCAGGTGCCCCAGCATTGAAAGTAGCAACCATGTTAGTGAGTGAGAAAGGCTTATTCATCCCCTAGGACAGTGGTGGAGAACATATGGCATGCATGCTGCAGCAGGTTGTTTGTATCATTGAAAGCTCTAAAAGATTTGCCGACAACACTGCCCTAGGATCTTTACTATAACATAGGAAGAGGATTAAATCTAAAACCTAGCCACAGTGCATGTATGCAGTAAGCTAAGAGTGGACCTGCACTATCCTGCAGTTCCCTGTGCAACCAATGAACACGTTCGCCAACACAGGAACACCTGGGCAAATTTGGAAACTTCCCACTGAATTGCTGAAACCTATTAAAAAAGATCTGTGAAAAATTTACTAAAAATGGAAACAAATTTGTTATTTTATTAAGATAATTCTTTATGTAAGGAAAGTCTTATGTGTTAGGGTGTAGAGGTAAAAAACCCACTGCCTAAGTTAAGCCAACTTAACTTTTTATCTTCCAGTGGACAATTTAATGCAGGCAAACAACCAAACACTTTTCAAAGAATCTTAACTTTGGGCAAAAACGTAAGTGTTAATGTGTGCTGAATTAAGAGAACAAAAATTTATTTCTGAATATAATTTTTAAAGGAACACCCATTCATTGTTGGTTTTAAACTTATTATTTAAGTATTCTTTGTAGGCAGTCTCTAGATAGTGTAAAATGTGAATAAGTTAGAATGTCTTCATTTTGACAGGCAAGAATTCATTCAAATATTACTCTTGACAACTTGGACTTTTTGTCAGTTCTTATTTTTGTTTAAAAGAAAAAAGAGACAAAGGAAAAGTCAAGAGAGCAAGTGAATAGGAAAGTGATGAGATTTATGTTAAGCAAATAAACATATTCTATCTCTGAAGCAAAGCACTCTCTGGGTAATTGATAAATTTGTTCTAACTTTTTTTTGGAGATATCTATCTATCTATCTATCTATCTATCTATCTATCTATCTCCATGAGAAGTTATTTGAGCAATGCTTAAAACTGTGAATCAATAAGAGTAAAACAGGTTTTCTAATATAAACATTTCTTCCTATTTCTTGGGTTTGTATTTGAAATGCAGTGTGAGACAAAAGAGAAGGTGGTGATTTGTGATCATGAAGTTTAAATCACCCCACTATAAACAAAAATGTACATACCAAAAGAATGAAGAACATAAAGAACACAAAGGTAGTGAAATAAAGTGGTCCCAAAACTCGATTAGCTTCCTCAATCTCTGCAAAGTTGACATCTCCCAAAATGATACGGAATTGAGTGAAGCTATAAAAACAAAACAAAACACCACAATACAAAACCAAAGAATGTCCAACGGTTGATGCAACATTTCCTAGGGTGATTTCACAGCTTTGGACCTTTTTGGCAGTTATGGATCTGTTTGCAAAAGTCTTGCTACTTATATCAATAATAGAAGCAATTTAGGATATTAAAACATTTGCTTTCATATGACATATGTCTCCATTTGGTAAATATTAAATATAATCATTATTAAATGACTTATGTTGCAGTTGGCTCTAGGAATCCACACTTAATCTGGGTAAAACATGGTAACTCTAAATCTCCATGAGGTCACCTTACAAGGGTGTGAAATTACAAGCTCTTAAAAGTAAAAAGAGATGATTTTTGAAGGACAGGTAGAATTCTATGTGTTCAAAGATCCAATATGTCCATAGTCACTCAAAGTGAGGTCTAAGTAGCTGAATGTTGCTTTTAGGTCTAGTAAAATCATTTCCATTCCTGACTTTTATCAATCAGGAAGATGAATCAGGCATCCCTACTGACAAGGCCCTTTCAACTTGCTTCTTCTCCTTTCCTAACTACTAATTCCTCATAAATGCCTCAGAAATATGATAATGGCCTCTATTTATTTACTGGCAGTGTTAGGGAACAAACACATGGCCTCATGCATGGTAGACAAGTGTGCTCTAGGCCTGAGCTGCTCCTCAGCTTGGTTTAGGATGTCTGAGAACTCTGGAAAAAACCTAAAAATTCCTATGGTGTACTGTTTCTTCTAGAATATTGGAAGTACCTTTTTTCTTATAAAATAACTCGAAGTTCAACATAAATAACTTGAAGTTTATTCAAACTTGAAGTTCCCCATATAGGGCAAGCATATTCAACAGGAATGACAATATTCACAAATGACCCCTACAGAAACCCCAATCTGTGCCATGTGCTAAAACCTCTGTCTTTGGAATGTGCTGGCTTCTCTGGCTGTCTCTAGCTCATTCCTTGAGGGCTTCAGCATTTCAGACTGCATTATCTGCTTTGCCTTTATGGGTCACTGTTTCCAGAAAAAGTAATTCATTCTTATTTTAAACTGTTTTGAACACTTGCTGGTCAAATAGCAACTGAGAAGATTTCTTTATCCTTGAGAGAGAACTGCCATCTCTGATTAAATTTTCTTCTTAATTTCATAAATACTTACATACATTCTTGGAAAGTACTGAAGTCATCGACCTGAGTGCCAAAGACGAGGTACGCCAACTGAGCATATGCCAAGAAAATAATGAAGAACATGAGGGCAAAGCCAAAGAGGTCTTTGGCACACCGAGACATGGTTGTGGACAGCTGGCTCATAGTCCTGTTAAAGCTAATGAATTTGAAGAGCTGCAAAAGAGGCAGATGGTATAGGTGAGAGGACAACACCAGGTAGCACACACCCAGTGGAGTGTTACTCCACTTGGAGGAGGAATGGCATCTGACAGAGACTGCCACATGGGCTCTACAGACATTAAGCCATGTGAGATGGGTGCAACATAAAGATGGAAATATTTCCACTTAGGTGAGGCACCTCCCCCCAAAACAATAAAAATAAAAGGAAAAAAGCCCTAATGAAAACATCAGAAGATATTACTATGAATTGATAACCACTGTTTATCATGCATCTCCTGGCCAGGGATGGCTGTATGTAACTGCTCTGAATCTTCACAACCACCACAACACTGTTGTTTTATCCTCAGCAGTCAATGTTGCTGGGAGCCAGGACCTAGGCCAGCTGTCCCTGTACAAAGCCACCTTGCTGGGGACAAGCCAGGCTGTGCAGCTCACCACACAGGTGCAGGATGACCTAGGGCACTGGGAAGGGCCTTGGTGGGAGAACTGAGGGTCAGCGGTGGAGCTTGGTCCCTGCCTAAAGAACTTAATGGCAGAATTTGGGGAAGGGAAGCAACAAATAAGACCCAACAGCCAGAGGCACAACAAGATGGAAGGGAATCTCTAGAACTTTATTTCATGGTCTCTTAGAAATTGTTCTTGGCCACAGTTAAATTCTTCTGAAGGCTGCTATAATGGACATCACTTAATAAAATTCCTGTTCATCTCAGATTTTGGCTACTTTTCGTTTTATGACAGAGGTTTGATGTGTAGTGAGGGCTTCTCCTGAACAAACAGGTGACTGGACAAAAGCCCTAGAGACATGAGGAGGTGAGGATGTGCCCTTAGGTGAAGCTCAAGTCTTCTGGGTGCAAATGCCACCTCAAGAAGACACAGAGATGGGGGAGAACCTTCCAGAAAGCTGCTATAGGGAACTCCCGTGAGGAAGGAAATGTTCTATTATTTCCATTTCCTATGCAGTAGCCACTAGCAATACAGAGACACTGAGCACTAAAAATGTGGCTGGTGGGGCTGAGGAACTGAATTTCTAATCATACGCCAGCTTCACTTAATTTTAAATGTAAGTAGCACATGTGGTAATAGCTGCCATCTAGACAGCACAGTCATAGCCCGAGCTGGTGGTGATGGGACCAGGTGGATAGCTGCCTCAGGATTACTGAAACTCCTACATCTCCAGAACGGAGGCTCACTGTGCATGAAATGCCCAATCATTCCCACACCTGGAATGCACATCACACCTTGGGAAAGAGGAAAGTGAGCAAGGAAGGGACTCCTTGGAGAAAGTGACTGTCCTGCCTCAATTCTGGTGAACCTTCCTCCTGGCCTCCTGGAGAGAGGCGATCTTTTCAGTGAGCATTTCCAGGTGCAGCTCCTCTTGATCCCCTGTACCCTAACTTCCTCCATTTTTGAGTTCTTCTTCCTCCTCTGCTCACCCCTGAGGGAAACTGGGACCTGCCCTATGCTAAAGCAGCCTGGGCCCAGGCTGAGTGAGCATGTGTTAAAGGAAGCCCAGAGGGACAGACCCTGCAGGAGTTCAGGAAGCAGGGGAAGCAGTCTCATGCCCAGTAAGAGGGGTGGCACAGGGGCCCCCCTGGCTGCCCACTTGAATTTGGTCACAAGGCAACTTCAAGTCCTCTACGCTTTGTGTGATTTATATTAATGCGAAGAAAGAAAAAGTACTAACAACCCAGAAGGTGAAATGTATAAATTACCTTAATCCAGACCAAAAACACTGTGATAGCAGCTATACTGTTGAACTGTATTTGCCAGGATGCCAGATGCTCGAAGTTGGGGAAGGTGTTTTGATCCTCTAGAAAGTACAGGAGCCCCTCCACACTTGATGTTTGGTAGATGTTAATTCCTATTGCTATCCCTGAGAGCTGAAAGGCAAAAGAGTTATATCTCACTATAGTGCTTTAGGAATAAATAGCTTACTATAAATGACCACTTTATTTGCCTCACCACTTACAGGTTCCATGGCTGGCCACTGTGTTCACCCAATGGCACCAGAAAAGCCACTCAGGGTGGCAAGTGCTGAGCAATGCCATAGATGTGCATGAAATGTACTGCTTGTGTTCCCTCTGGTTAGGAATAGAAGCCTGATCAATGTGTGTGTGCATGGCTGTGTGCTCACATATACACACACACCCATACACACAAGTGTGCAGAGCAGAGATGGTACCACGACAAGCTCAATTCAAATGGGCATGGCTGGTTTTCTGCCACTCTCATACAAATCACTTTCTACTCTTCTGTTTGCTTGGCCTCATCTTGGTTTCTGATTTTGTTTGTGGTTTTAAATTTTCTGGTTTCTCTCCATTTTCCAGCCACATATTCTTTCCAATCTTCACCAAGTACCGTGCAGATGTCTAGTTAGACAGCACTGTACGAGGGGCAAGGAGGAATAAACAGAAGTAAGTTTTAAGTAAACACTGCCCTCAAAACCTCGTGTTCTGGTTGAAAACTAAATATTATGAGAGGAGCACTGAAGAGTTGGCAGAACATGACAAAATGTGAAGGGTGAGACAAGCTGTACTCACTGTAAAGGAGTGTGTCAAAGGCAAGGAGTGTGCATGGTCATAACAGTGGGAATGCCAGGGACAAGGGCAGAAGGGAATGTGAGCCTCTGCTGTCTTTCACTCATGACCACACATCTTTTCACATCTGCCTTGGGTCCAGGATGCACAATCAGACCTGTGGAGACACAAGCCCCCATGTGGTGTCCATTCCATTGGACTAACAGGTATATGAAGGGTCTGGGTCTGCAATAGGTCGGGTGTGGCAGATGATGCACCCATCACCATCCATTTTCTCTGTCTCCTCAGGTCTGATGGCCATAAGACACTTCATTAGCTCTTCCTGAGGTGGCGTCCAGACCCACCCCAGTAAGCATCACAGCAAGGATCATCTGGCCACTGCACAACTAAAACGCTAATTTCACCACCTTCCTTTCGTTACTGGTGAAAGGTTTACAAAGATGATATTGAATGTGTGTGTTGGTGGTGGGAGTACTTCCTGTGCGCTCCCTGGGATACAATGAAAATGTTCCTCTCCATGGACTCAGCTGTAAGGGAGACTCGGGGGTGGTTGAGTGATTTCAGAGCATCATTTCCATGACAGGACAGTGGGTAGCAGGGATAAGGAATAATATATGCCACAGCTGTGCCAATAAAAATGTTTAAGCACTTAACAATTAGGCACGCTGGTAAGACCTCATAAAAGGTTATCTGTTACTGCTGAAAGAAGAACTTGTGCAAATCTGCTAAGGCTTCTGGAAGGAAGTGATAAAGATGAGGCCTAAGTGATTTAGCTTAAGAGGAAAAAAATGAACAAGTGCTAGAAATTACAGGAGTCTGGGGCAGGCACAGCACATAAAAGACACTACAGTCTTGTGTATGCAACTTTGCCTTATGATTTCTTGCACCTTATGCCCAGCATTGTGATAGGTATATCTCAAATTTTATTTCTATTTGTAGGAAATTTTAAACTGCAAGAGGTTTCCTCTGTCACTCAAAAAGTGCTTGTAGTGTTTTTTCTTGCCATAACTTGACTGATGTATAGGAAGTCATAATTTAATTTTTAGTAGCAGTTGAAGAAAAATATCAGTAGCTAAATCCCAAAATAAATAATTATCTCCCCCATATCTCATATGGCATGCCAAATATGAGTATGAATTATTAAGTTATTCTTATGATTAATGTGGATAACTGAGAGCTTAGTACAAAGGCTGGCCCACCTCACAGTCAGGCTTCTCATGCACACAAGAAAGTAATTTGTAACACAGATACTGACATAAGAGACAGGGACTTCTAGATTCTCTTGTGGAATATCCAGATCCACAATGCGAGCAGACTAAAGGCTGTAGTTAACATGCATTTAGAGTAGAGCTGGGAATTTGGCATTGTTCTCCAACCTACCACAACAATCACAACATCCAGACAATTCCAGAAGCTTCGGAAGTAGTGTAGTTTGTGAATGCGAATTTCCAAAATCTCTTCCACCGCATAGTAAAGGACAAAGAAACAAAAGATAATCTCACAGGCTGCCAGGAAGAAATCAAAAGCTGTGATGTAGCGGATCAGCTTCACAGGCTGAAACTGCCAAGAAGTGACCACACCTCCCGTTGCTGGGAGTTCAACCAATAACCTGCATTGTGATGAGAAACAACATCAACACATGGATATGGTCAGGAAAGGAAGTCCATCTGTTCTGTCCCTCCACCATAAGGCCACTGTGGCTACCACAGGTCACTCCAGCGAGTGGCAAATTATTTTTACCATGGTCAATAACTCCATACTTGGAGAATCCTGTGCTTCCCAAGACCTCCCAACCCAAATGATTCCTTCCTTCTCAGGCTTCCTTCTACTCCTCAGGTATCTATACTGTTCAAAATACTGTACAATATTTTTATATGGAAAAATTAACCAATTTATCTTTCTAGAACTTTTACTGGGTGGAAATCACTTAAACCAGAAACACAAAGAATATAAGAAACACAAGCCACACTCTCAAAACATGTATGATCTGGTTGAGAAGTCTCTACTTTGTAATACATAAATTAGAGGACTGAGTCTCTCATTCATTCATTCATTTGGTAGGTAGCACCTAATTAGCACCGAATAGTTTGCCTCCCTCCATGACCAAGTTGGGAGACTGTGGTGAACTACAGCTCCTCTTCTTTCTCTATCTGCTGGAGTGGACAGTAGTGGCCAGAACCAAACTCAGGAGAGCAGCACGGAGAGCAAGGGGCCTTGTGACACCTCCAGGATGAAGCTGAAAGGGAGCAAGTGGTTTCAGTGGTCAAGTCACCTCTCACTGGCCACATTTGGCACTGCACTTGTCGGCCATGTCCAGAAACTTGCCAAACAGTGTAGAAAAACAAGAGTGACTGGTTGGGCAGTGATCACTCTGAAAATTGGGGAGGAAGGGAAGGACATACAGAAGACATTCTATAAAGAGACACTTAAGTGCCACAGTCACCTGCCTGCTGTCATCCTCTCCATTGCCTCATGGGAATCATTAGAAAAAGCTCAATAATAATTGCAACAAGTTTTCATTCATGCCTAATAATAACTAGAACTTGGTTTAATCTGATACCATCTTCTACAAGGAATGGGAAAATCTGACTGGCCATTAAAGCAGAATTAAGTTTAGCCTAAAGTGATGATAAAATACAGACACTGCCAGTACATATTCCTATTTCGGGTGGAAATGTTAAGTGTGGGTAATCCTTGTGGGTGATATTTAGGTGTTGCCCACATGCCATCCAGAGAAAACTCCACATACCCTTGCCTTACTCTACTTTTACTTTTCTTTTTCAAAAAAGAAATTATCATCTGAAATCCTATATGATTTATTTATCCCTTTTGTTTATTGTTTCCTGAGGGATCCTTATTTCACTCACCAATGTGTCCTAAGGATAAAGCCTGGGCACCTACCAGGCATCCAACCATGAATGGATGAATGAATGAACGAACGAATGAGTAAGAACACCCAGACAAGCCAGGGAGTCACTATCAGTGTTCTCAGTATCTCCTAGAGTGGTCATGATGCAACATCACAGAGCTACAGAAAGGGCTTCCTGTGCCTCTGGTGAGTGACCAACACAGCACAGGCCAGGGCGTCCTCGGGCATGGTCCTCGCTGCTGTGCTCATGTCCTAACAGCATGGGAGTCACCTGAGAGCAGCAAACCTGGGGAAAGGAGTTAAGGTTTGATAGCAGGGGATGTGGTGAAGGAGCATGGATCTCTGATCAGCCTTACAACGGTTGCAATAGATGTGAGAAAACCACAGGGCTCTTTCTGAATGTTTCCATCCTTGTGATCCTAAGTCATTCCCCAAAATGTCCTTATCCCACTAAGCCTGCAGTAGTCACTCCTTCCTTCTGTCACCCAGATCGTTGCACCTCTCTCAGCCAGCTGCAGGCAAGGCTTCTGAACAACAGGGTCACAGATCAGTGCCCAGAAACAGGAGGCATGTAAGCCCTCAGGACACACCTGGCCACACAGAAGAGGTTAACATTGGCGTTGTACACTGAGAAGTCAATAAAAGCTGCCCTGGTTCCTCGGTCCAGCCAGACATTTTTCCTGAGGCCAGCAAGCTGGGCGGCTGTTTCCTCTCTGGTTCTTGACAGATCCAGGTAATAGCCAGCTCCACTGTAAGCTGCGATCACTCCCCAGTGGGTGCTCCCATTTAAGTCCTTTTCACTTGTGTAGATCCAACTAAAAGACAAAACAGAAAGGTAACATCACTGGAGCCCTCTGTGGCCACTACAGAGACAGCCTCTGGCTGCTGCTGAGAGGAAGTATGTAACAAGCCTTATCAAGCTGGCAAGTTCTGACTGAGTTCCCAAAGAGTTATCGGCCCCAGTTTAGGAATGAGGCCCTGGGGCTTAGAGAGGTCACTTTCTTCCCAGAGCTTGTGAGGGTGGACTGGCCATGTTCACAGAGCTGAGCCATCTGCCTGAGTTCTCCTGCTGCTTTCTCTGGCAGCTGCCGGTCTGCCCCGAGGGCCAGTGAGAGCCCAAAGGGAGATATTTCCACCCAACTCCTCACTGTGCAGCCTGTTTTTCCATACATGATGGAGACAATGCCTCTCCCAGAGGTGTTTTGTGAGGGAAGATGAGATGGTGTGTGTATAAACAGCAGTGTGGCATGGAGTCGTGGCTGTATCAGTTTCTCTAAATGACATGAAATAAAATAGAATATTGGAAAAGGAACCACAGATTGGGGGTGTGCTTATGCTTTGCAGTAGTTAAAAAAAGGAGCATGAAAACACGTAATCACTTACACAACCAGGAAAAATGGCCTCTGAGATTGTTCGTGCCTTTGCTCTAAATCTATCTCTCATGTGCTCTGATATAAACAGGGTGGACACTTGGAGGTAAACAGAGAATACAGTCTTCAATATGTCTGCCCCACTGCTAACTCACACATGGGGATTCCAGGGTTTTGGTTCCCAAGAGCAGGATCGAGATAACTCGAAAGAGTTTAGCAGGGTGTGTAAGACAGCTCTGTCCCAGGGACTCACCAGGGCAACACCCCAAGAGGCCACCCCAGAGCTGCCCCACTTCTATGGAATAACTACAATAATCTTAAAAAAGTAACTGTCCTTCCTTAATATCCCAAGTATTTGAGACACAGGTACTGAAGTACACAAAAGACTGTAAATATGCTCATGTACTCATATAAACTGAATAAACACATTTGAGAAGGGTGGGCTTTAAACAACTAGTGCACATTTTGATCACTTATTTTTTTCTCTGTGGTGCTAGAGATGGAACCCAGGACCTCAGGGAGGCTGGGTGAGCATTCTACCTCTGAGCTACACTCTCAGCCCTAGCTCACACTTTAAGTGTCCGTCAGAGGATACTGTTAACCACAAAACAGAATGGAAATCCTGCCACTTGCTTCAGAGTGGATGGACCTGGAGAACATGATATGAAGTGAGATATGCCACAGAAGGGCAAATGCTACTTGTTCTCACCAACAAAAACTAAAACCCTAGAAAACTTCTCAAAAAAGAGAGCAGAAGAGTCTCCAGTAGACTCTAGGAAAGCTGCTAGGAGAGACAACGGGAAAAGTCAGATGAGGGCACAAGACACAGCCAAGTGGGAGAAAAGGCTGCGTGGAAGGCAGCAACAGTGGACGGTGGTTTATGACCTATCTTGCAATGACCAGAAGAGACTGAAGGCCCCAACATGAGAAATGATAATGGTGTAAGTGGATGGAAATGCTAACCAACCTGATTTGATCAGTATATATTGCAGACATGTTTCAAGTTACTGTACTGGACTCCACACAGGTATACACCTATTACATATCAATAAAAATAATTACACCTTAAATAATTGCATTTCAAATAAAAATCTATTTGTAAAGGCCACTAAAAAAACTTCTGTACCAGAAAATTTCCTGATAAGGAACCTAATAGATGGTATGAGAACAAAGCCTCAGCATCTTAAATGAAATGTTTAAAGGCTCAGATAAATTATTGTGGGGGGCATACAGCCAACAATTTAGCCTTTTGAAAATATAGCTACACAAATTAAAAGGGGATTAAGAAGTAGAGAGGTATGGAGATAGCAAAGATCAATTTGGCCCAAGCTTCCATGTAAGCACTGAAGTCCCCGAAAGAATGAATAAATGTCAGACACTTACGCGGTTCCATTTCGTGGTCCAAATGGGGCCCTGTCTTCACTACTGACCGAGTAGACATCATAGCACTCTTTAATTTCATCTCTCAGGTCCAGGGGGATAGAACAGGATCCATTTCTGACTTTGAGCTGTCGGATGCGTGGGACCCCTAGCAACAGGTTTTCATAGAAAATGAAACTGCGGTTGTCCACTTCGGAGTGGTTGCCAGGCTGCGCCTTCCAGTACAGCCCATCCAGTAGGGGGCCCTCTATGAACTGAAAGCAAAGGAAGCATTGGGGAAAGGCTCAAGCTCCAAGGCTGTTCTGGTCTTTACTAGAAGCTGTGTGTGACCAACACTTTGGCACCCGTGACAGGGTTGGGAGAGTAGGCTTTTTTGTCAGAGATCTGGGCGTGGATCTTACTCCCTCATTTGCCACCTGTGAAACCTGCAGTAGGATCCTCTATGCCAAGGTTCCCACATCTGGAGGATCCATCTGCTGTGTGGTCAGGGCACGTGGCACAGGGTTGATACTTGATCAGGGCAACTCTGATTTCTGTACTGGAACTAAAGGCAGCGGGTTGGGGTGTCGTATAAATCCACACCCACCATTAACCCCACCTTCCCTTATGAAAACAGCATCCCACCCAACCATGGTTCTGAAATCATCTGCAGAGAAGAGGCAAGTGTGGACCACCAGCCTGCCACCTGGGCTCTGACTACATGGGGAACCTTTTTCCCCTCCTGCCCCTTTGGAGCTCAGCAGTGATTAAGGAGTTCTCGTGGTGAGGAGTCTTGTGTTAGTCTGCACACTGCACTCTACCTCTAGGGAGGACAGACCCGGCCAATGCTCAGGGTGTGGTCCTGATCAGATGACCACTAGACACAAACTGCTCTGCCCCACCGAGGTGAGGAAGGTTAGCGGTAAGGAATGTGAGGTTGGATGCCAAGTACTGTTAAACATTAATAAGTTTCCATGACTCTGCTTTCTCTATGCTTAAAATCAACAGCTCTGACCCTAGGGTTTAGTAAGAATTTTGCAAGCTATCTCCCAGGGAGAAACAGTCACTTCCTTTTCAATTTCCTTTCCTATTTTCTTAGATTCCAAGCACCACAGAATATTTGTCCCACAGTATCAGTCATTGCTCATACTCTGCTACTAGATTGGAATTTGTGACAACTGGAAAAGGGGCTGGGTTCGATCTGTCAAAGAGTGTGCCTTTCCAGGAGCTGGGGACACAGGCCCTTGTCAGCAAAGACACAAAACACAACAAAGTGACACAGAAACCCAAATTGCCCTCTTGGGCCTTATAGCCTAGAAGATGTGCAATCAATATTAAATAATGGACGACTATATAATAAGCTAAAATGAACAACTGGCTGTCATGCTACAAAAACATCTGTTTCTCATTTTGCTAGCTATGCAGTCTTGTACATCTGAGCATCAGGCTCATTTACAAACTGAGTGCAGTGTTAGCACTTGGGCGGTTAGGTCACTGCAGGGTTTAGACAGAGGAAGGTATGAATTGCTCAGCATGGTGCAAGCCACTTGACCTGAAAGGTTCTCAACAAATGTAATTTCGCTCCCTTTGAGTTGTAACTTCCGACAACTCAGCACTGTTTGTAGCATTTCACAAGTGGTAAACACACAGCAGGCCCTGTACATATTCTTGTGTTCAACTTATGACACCAAATGCACACTTCTGCAGGACAAATATGGACTTTCAAAGTCATGTATAAATACCTTCCAGAAGTCCTCCACTGAAGACAGAGTTCTGAAGTTAGTTTTCTCTGACTTGGACACGGGGGTGTCTAGGAAGAGCTGTGACATCGTCCGGGTGTAGTAGTACACATGGGAGCTCATCATGCCGTAGGTCACTGGAAGACAGAGAGAGAAAGGTGAGCTGCATGGGAACCTGCACAGCTCCACACAGCCAAAGCCTACATGAGGAGCTGGTCCTGTAGAGGGACATCTGAGGGGGACAAGGGTCCACATAAGGTCTCTGTCACCCTTGCCTTCTCCCCCCACCATTTTTCTGGGGTATCCCTATCAGCAGCTTAGAAAAGAGTTATATAAGATGAATACTGGTGCAAGTTAAACTGGCTCACTCTGAGTACTACATGGGCTTTCCATGGTCTTCTCCACCTCTCTGGGCTCAGACCTCATCGGCCCCAGTGTGAGCTACTGTATCCCTCATGCTGTGAATGTGTCCTGTGCTGTTCTGTCCCTATGACATGCACAGCCTACTTGCTTCCCCCAGACCCACTCCTATCCTGTCTGCCTTGCTTTTTTCCTGAGGCTGACCTCTGTGGACTTTATCATCTGACACCCTTGGTCTTCTTCAGGACAGAGGAGAGAGGTTGGGTTGTCCCCTCTCTCCATTGTCCCATCCTCCTCTCCATCTGCAGCAGGTTAGAAGGGTCCTCCAGCCTGGGCCACAGCTGCCGGGTATCTCTCCCACACCACACTGGTTCCCACCATGCCCTTCCCTCCCTGGTCCCCTCAAGCCTGGAGGGGTGACCTTCCTGAATGCCTCACGTGCACTGGTCCTTCCTTTAGCCCTGCCAGTCCCTGCAGAGTCCCTCCTTTCAGCTTCTGTAAGTGCCACTTTGGTCACCATCTCTTTCCTTCCAGGAGCCAGATGACATGGGAACATCTGTCTCTGTCTACCTGAAATCAGATCCTTCGTGGAGCCTCTGACCTCAGGTGTGCCTGCCAGGGACACTTGGCATCAGACTGGATGGCCTGGATGGAGGTCAGAAGATTCCAAGGGGACCAGGGGTTTCATCCTGCCCAGGCTCCCAATGGTCACTGTGAGCTGGGCAAGAGACTGAAACTTCATGAGCCTTGGTTTCCACTTCTGTAAGTCAGAATAAGTAGCTAACCCATAGGAGTTTTTAGTGCTTACCAGAAAGTAACAAAATGTTATCTAGTGCAGTTAGAAATTCCACCCTTAACAAATATCCATCAGTGGCGCTTCTTCCTAACTGGGTTGCTACACCACACCTTGTACACCTTGCAGCACTTTAACAAGTACTGTCTCATGCTGAACAATAACAATTACAGATGTAATGTGCTATAATTCCTGCAATTATCCAATGAAAAGTTCCAGGGGAAAATGGTATGTTTTGCTTTTTTTTTTTTTTTTCCTGAAGTGCTATGGATTGAACCCAGGGCCTCCTCTCTCATGCACTGAGCTATACTCTCAGCTTATATTTCTTTAGAATACAGTTCTGAACACCAGGTGATTAATACTGACTTGATTCTACAATAATCTTTAGGCATCCTAAAATGTATATTAAAACCCGTGTTAAATTATTGAGGGGAACAAATGCTATTCATAAATCTCTTCCTTATATATCCCTCTTTCCCTCTGAAGCATCAGAGAAAATTAAAATTATTAAAGGAAAGGAGTATGTAAGCATTTGAGATTTCATCTCAAGGAACCCCTTAAGAAATAAATATACACAAGAGGCACAACTTGTGGGATCTATTATTTCCAGCCTCCGATTATTACCGGAAGTAGACAGGACAAGAATAGGCCTTGTCAAGTTTCACATGATCCAACTGATACCTCTCAAACTGTACTGGACCCAAGTTAAGGTTTAGGATCCTAATCCATCGACATTTGTGGGACAGGCACTGGACAAAGAGGAACAGAAGGTGACCTCTCCCTCCACCAGAGCTTGTCCCCAAGAGCCAGCTGCCTGCCCAGCTCCCACCTGAGATGGACACAGGGATGTGCAGGTGCTGAGGCCTCCAGTGGGTTACTGAGGCCTCCAGTGGGTCACAGTCAATGGAGGGGACAAAGCTGACATGGAGACGAAGGAGTGAAGGCTCCCCTGAATGTGTAGGTTCATTACTTTCAGTTAATGTGAAGTTGGAATGTATCTTGGATGGCCTGGTTAATAAAGACCACTCCAGAGCTTTTTATCTGTGGATTTGTTGTTGCAAAGGATTTTGATGAATTATTTTAATATTTTTTACTTCCAAATATGGTATAGTAATATATAAATATGTAAATATTTTAGCCACTGATTTAAAAGTGTATCTCCTTTATTTTCCTATTGTGCTTTATTAAATGAATTTCTATTTTAAAAAATCTTCCCACAGATAAAACTCAGAGCCAGATGGCTTTACAAAGTGAATTCCATCAAATATTTATGGAAGAAATAACATCAATATACTCTCACAAAATACAGGTTGTTGGAACATTTCTCAACTCATATGAGCATAATCATGTTGCTAAAACTTTATAAAGGCATTAGAAGAACAGAAAATTACAGACCAGTATCCCTAAGTAACAATGATGTTGAAGCTCTTAAGAATTATTGCCAGATAAAACCTTCCAATATATTAAAAAGATAATATATGTTGACCAAATGAAATTTATCCTGGGATGGCAAGGTTGGATTCTCATTTTAAAAAGTCAATCAGTATCATTCACATTATCAGAATAAAGAAGAAAAATTATATGATTATCCTATTTGCTTTAAGACCCAGTATTTACTTTTGCTCTTTTAATGCTCAGGCTCTGTGTTAGCTCATGGCTTCACTCAGAGGGAAGCCGCGGATGCCCTTGGTTGTGGGGCGTCACCTGCTGGACGGCGAGGGAACTGTACTACCTCTGTATCTACCTCTGTCTAGGTGTCCTGGGATCCTGGACAGCTGCTAACTCTCCTGGGCTTGCACTGTGTTATCTAGGAATTGAGAATAACACTATCGAGGGCTTTTGTGAAGCCCAACTGAAGAAACACACACTATGCATTTGCACACATTTGCACCCAGCGAAGTGCAATGGAAATATGACCATTCCATCCCTTCTCCTTTCAGTCCCCATGAAGAAAGCTCCCCGGAAGGTGGCACTCGCTCTCTCTAGACGAAATGGGTAGGAAAGACAAAGCTTCTACATGAAATGTTAACTTATATCAGGTGAAGGACGCACACGTATCCTGTGTGTGTTAGGATTTAGCTTTTGTCTTAACCAGGAGTTTCCGTTTTTTCATCAACTAAGCCAGAGCAAAATGCATTAAAGCATAGACCACCAAAAATGCAGCACATAGATAAAACAAAGCTGCCCTTAAATCATGGTCTATCTTTTCAAAATAGCTAATAAGTATTATTTTACTATTGCTATCACTGAAAAATACAGGTTCAAATGGAGTATTGTGGAATGGTGTCTACTGTATAAATCCCAATTGTTAGAATAAAGAAGCAAAGGAAGGCCAGGAATTTAGCTCAGTAGTTCCATCACCTGTCTTGCAAGCTCAAGGTCCAGAGTTCAATCCCCAGTACCAAAAAAAAAAAGGAAAGGGAAAATCTCTAATTCAAGAAAAGAAAAAGAAAAATAGAAAATAACAAGAAAGTACAAAAAAAAAAGGGGAAAAAGTAAGGTAGAAATTTGACAAAAACATGCATGAAATGTGAGTGCGTTATACTCTTACTAGGGGGTAAGGTTTTAAATGATTGGTTAGAAATTCCACCTCTAAAATTTCTACGAGAAATCTATACCAAATCAAGTTAAAAATAAAGGAACTAGAAAACATATCAGGGAAAATGTTTTTAGAAAGTTATTGTTCGTGGTATTAAAATCATTTAATAGAGGAGAGTATAAGGTGAATTTTGAATCTATTGAATCAGATAAGAAGGTTATTTAAGTTGGAAAATGATCCCATACAGACTTTACTATCATGAATTCGGTACTGAACCACAGAGCATCTGGAGATATAAAATGATAACTGCTAGTTGTCTAAGGAGAATTAGCAACTGGACAAATTCTGCACTGTAACTGGACAAAAAAGTAGACAAAAATCACTTATACATATTAAGGGTTTGAATCAAATACATGACTTAGTACACTATGTATACAGAAAACTTCATGCAGGTTGATCATCCCTAACCTGAAAATCTGGTACCACTCCAGAATCTGACAGTTTCTGAGCAGTCAACAGAATACCACAGTAGAAAATTCTATGCCATGAAACTTATGTACAAAATTACCAAAAACATTGCATGAAATTACATTCAGGCTGTATGTACAAGGTGTATATGCACTTAGGTCCCACCAAGATATCTCACCATATATATGCAAAGGTACCAACTTCTGAAAAAATGCAAAATCTGAAACACTTTTAGCCCCAATTATTATTATTATTATTATTATTATTATTTTGGTACCGGGGATCGAACTCGGGTCCTTGCGCTTGTGCAGCAGGCAGCGAAACCACTGAGCTAAATCCCTGGCCCAGCCCCAATTATTTTGGATAAGGGACACTCACTCTGTCATACCAAAGAGGTCATTTGCATTCTTTTTCAAACATCTGTGAAACATTTACAAAGATTGGTAAAATGCACCAGATTACAAAGAAAACATCAGTAAATCTCTAAAGTTAAAAATCCACTGGGCAGGTGTGCTTGTAAGAGGACAGCCATGTGAGGACAGAGGACTGGAGTTGGACACCTGCACACCATGCAGGCCAAGGAGTGCCAGCCACCACCAGAGCCAGAGGCAGGAAGGCTTCCTGGAGCATCAATGGAAGCACAGGCCTGCAATACCTTCACTTTCGGCCTTTGTCCAAAAATTTCTGTTGTTGTAAGCCAAAAGATAAACATATTCTCCCCTAAAAAACATAAAAGCTCTTAACTAGCCAATATTTTTAAGCCATAAATTCTGCAAATTAAAAGGATAAATAAGCATACACACATAAAATCAAGCCATTTAAGAGGTTTTTTTCAGAAATTTTTCCTGTAGCCCAAAGAGGAAATCTAAACTGCCATAAAAATGTAATGGCACCAGATGTAAAGACAGCAGAACCAAGATGCCCTGGTCAGATTCCAGGCCAAGTGCCCCAAAGTGAGGCAGCCCAGGAAACCTAAC